GAGAAGAATCATACCACTGTCACTTTGGTTGGGTGAATATGAAACTACAGCCAGCAGCCGGTTAGCTTAGCTTATCTTAGCTTAGCATAAAGACTAGAAACAGGGGAAGCAGCTAGCCTGGCCCCATGTAACGGAAACTTCCTACCAACACCTCTGAGGCTCACTATTTAATTACGAGCTATATCACGTTCAGTTTTATTCATACAAAGTAGGGGTAAAAGGGACAAATTTTGGTTTCAAGGAGGTTTATGTGCCACGCTATTTCTTGTCCATGACCAGGTGCCAGGAAACCAGCAGACACTCTTACCTGTAGCTTCATGTATGAGACTGGTATTGATCTTCTCACCTAACTCTCTACCAGAAATCGAATAAACATACTTCCCAAATGTCTAACTAGAAGCTGCTTTTGCTGAGATGCAAAAAGTAATTTCACTCCTTAAGTATTTCCAGCCATGTAGACTGAGGATGACTGTTCTTTTAGTGTGAACCAGAGGACTGTGAAGGACAAAGCACTTTAAAAAAAAAAAAAAAAAGGCAATAAGGCAAAAAGAAAAAGACTATCAGCTTCCAGGGAGTGGATCTCCTCTCTTTGTAATGTCTATGGCTCAGTCTCAACTTCAGGCTTGACTGACACACCACTCCTGAGTTCAGGTCTCGCCAAAACATGACGTCTGGATACTGCCTACCTGCTGCCAGGCCAGTGCTCTGCCACAGCACAACGCAACAAAACTATAAATCCATCCAACTGCAAATACAAACATGCATGTACACAACGGAGATGTGCATATGCACGCTCATGTCCACAATATCTCTCTCCCACTGGTATAAAAGAAGTGACACACTCAGCTACGGCTGATAATATACATTTTTTACAGAGTAATTAAAGGACAAGTCAGAACAGAAATAAATTAGCTCCTGTCTAATTACGCCAATATTTTGGCCTATGACTTCATAGTGAAGTTTAATTGCTAAGGAATACTCCAGGGGGAGGAACATGCTTATTTTTACAAAGACAGAAATATACAAATATTGGCATAAAGTAAGAGAAGACTCATAAACTCAATGAAGAGTTTCAAGCCAAGACAAGCAATTCACTGGAGCTTTTGAGAGCTTTTGGCATTTCTTTTTTTTTTTTTTTTTTTAAATGGGTCTTTGTGAGGCGCTGAGAGGCCCACAGGGGCAAGATAAGCCCAGTCCTGACCTTAATAAATACTTAATCGCCCTTCATTTTGTTCATTCATGGCGAGGAATTAAGTGACACAACGCAAACAAGTTAAACAACAGGAATGGCATCCTAAATATTCAATCCAGAGTCTCTTTAAAATGCAAGTTACCATGGAGCTGTCCAGAGCAAATGACTGGGGAGGAAGGTGACATGACAGCCCAACGCCCCCCCCCCGCCAACCCCCCCACACTCCCTCTACACTCAAACACACTAAATACACACACACACACACACACACAACCACAGAGAATAACTGCAGTGGCCTCTCTCCTGCTTTGGATTCCTCTGGCCACAGCTGTGGAAAAGTTCAGTGGGGACAGAGAGAGGGGAAAGCTGAGCAAAATGGGGGGAAAAAAATGAGAATCAAGGGGGGAAGAGACCTTGGAAACTAATATCAAGAAAAGTCCTGCTTTGCTTTAACCAAAGGACAGCAGAGGAAAGAGCTGGAGATGTAAAAGTCAGAGCTCTGCTGTGCCAACGGCGGCTGGAAGTCAAACACAGAGGCCTTCCGCTCAGCAGCCTCAGAGATCACACTCTATTTCTAGCAGCACGGCAAACTGACAGTCAACAACAGCCTGCGCACATGGCAGCTCATCTATTTACTCTGGAAAACATCGCCAGGACAACATACACACTCACAGGCACGCATGCAAACATCTAAACACATACAAAGCTGCTACAGAGGGTGGGGAAATGAGTGGTAGAATAAAAAGAGATGATGTCTCTGATCCATACAAAGCGAAGCCCGTCGCCACATCCTCTAAAACAAATGTCAATACAAACTTTTCCACACGCACAGTTTCCGAATCCTGTGATTAAACTGGCTAACTGCCTCGCCTGCAGTCAGTCCAGGTCAGCATGGTGGAACTGTGCTGTGTGCTAAATCCAAAGACACGGTAACTAAATAAATATGCAGTGTGTGCAACAAGTGTGATGTAGGTTATCATCACTGCCAGGTCGGTGCATTAATTCCTGCAAATGCAATTAAAAGTGGGTAAACAGACCTCGTGGTGACATTATTTTGTTGGCTACACCTTGACTCCGCGGTCAAGGTGGAACTGTCCATCTTCCTTTTTAAGGAAACCTGAACAATAAATACTAAAATGGAAATTTGAACAGCTACAATTTTATGAAAGACTGGGCAAACTCCATGTGCGGAGGAAGGCTGGGTGATATGATTGAAAGCTCCAGAACAACTAGTAAATGGACATTTTGGTGAGATTGTTTTACCAAATGAGCAAACCTGGTTAAGACTGTCTCACATTAAAGCTGAACTGATAACACTTGAAAGGTTTCATGATACTGATGTTTTCATATTTCCACACCTCATCACAAGCAGAACATGAAAGCACAGACAAGAAAATCATTTGGCATTTTTGAACATAATCAAATATTATACACACACACACACACAAACTCCACCACCAACACCATGAAAAACACCACCGCAACTAGCAGAGGAGAGTGAGTTAGTTGTTACTGGACTACACTGTGAGTGATCCGACCTACAACCTGATGTGCTATGAATTCAGTGTTAAAAATGCACCTAAATTAGTGTGAAGGACAGAACCCGCCACCGGTTAGAGAGTCTTAAAGGGAAAGCAAAGAGATCTGAGGTGTCTCGTCCCTTTGCTTTGCATCCAGAAGAGGAGGAGTGCAGGGTGGACCACCACCAGACGGAGTTTAATATGAGTGGAGGAGGATGACAATAATCAAGACGGGAGGAAGGAGGGTGAGAGGTCTCTGATTTTAGAGGATCCACGGGAGTTGAGGCCACTCCGTGTAGCCTTCCTACCTGGCTGCTGCTGCCGTGGTGACTTGACTGTAGGTGATTTTGCCTTGGCAGATTTAACCCCTCGGCCGGATGTCTGGACCCCAGGTTTAGACCCTCCGAGGTTAGCCTGGGGACAGGACCGGTCCTGGTTTTGGCCTCCACCACGGGGCAAAGATGAGCCCTCTATACGCTGCTTCATCTCTGAAGACAGCAGGCGGCCCTTGTGCATCCATTCTTGCATCTTGTTGACAGTGACACCGTGGCCTTTGTTGACAGAGTTGGCCCCCTGCGCTCGAACTCCGATCAGCTCCTGCTTGTTGTTGTGACCCTGATGTGTTGATGCCTCGGTGTTGCTGTCTGAGGAACCTGTGAGGCTGTTGACCGAGCCGCTGCTCTCATTGAGCCGCCCGCCACGCTCCTCCTCGCCACCAGCATCTTGTAGCTGCTCATCACTGCTGATGGCGTTGTGGTCTGACAGCTCACCCACTCCTCTGACTTTAGCTCCTTCAGCCTCTTTTCTCTCTGCAGCCTCTTTATCACGACAGATTTCTGGATTCTGAGTTCCAGTGACCTGCACGCAGACTGAGAGTCCACCTGGATACCTGATAGCTCCGTCACTAGCAGAGCGCAGTAATGTGGGCCTTATCTTGGTCGAAGACAGGTTCACCATACTCTTACTGTTCAGCCTGCTTTTGAGTCCTGACTCAGAGTTCCCACTGAGGCAGAGCAGGAGTGAGTCAGTGTCAGACACCTGCTGAGGGCTGTGGTCTCCTCCTGAGGACCAGGAGTCACTGTCCATGTTTTTGGCAGATAAGCGTGAGCACAGACTGTCTCTGGAGTGGCTACTACAGGAAGAGGTGGCCTGCTGCTCAGTTAAACCACTACTAATCTGCTGGACATCCAGGTTGATATCATTCATAGCGTTGATGAGAAGGTAATAAGCTTCTTTCAGCTGGTTCCTAAGCCTGTCTGTTTCCTGAGCACTGTTACAGTCATCCAGCTGTCCTTTGTCCTGACCAGCCTGTGGCACCTCAGAGTGTGCAGCCTCTGCCCTGTCACCATCAGTTTTCACTCTAATAGTTTCATAAAAGGGCAGAATTTCATTATCATAATAATCCTCATCTTCACTGTCTAAAGGGTATCTGAGTGAGCCCTCTGTGGCGCACAGGGATGCCATGTTAATGTCGCATATCTCTAACTCCGTAGGGAAAAAGGTCGGGCTCTGCAGACCGCCTGCAGACCCTCTAATGTCCCCTGCATACTCTGGCTCATAGCTCTCAATGTTACTGATTAAAACGTGTTCATCCGTGTTTCTTGACACACCGTTTGGAAACACAATTGCCGCGCAATTTGGCGAGTTTGTCTCCAAAGTTGGGTTGTTGTCAAAACTCCAGTTGGCGTTGTGTTCCTGTACAGCCACTACAGTCCCTGCCATGTGCCGGGACTGTCCTCTGTCTCTGGGCTCTGTCCCCTCACTATCAGCACTAGTTACCCGGCCCTCTGGAGGTTTATCGCCCCCGGTATGCGCCTCTACTCGAGCTCTGTACAATACGTGATTTGAATTGTCCCCAAACCCGATTGAATCCCCGACGCTGCACTGCCGCGGGACCGACACGAAGTGTTTTCTCTGGACATGTGGTCCTCCGAGCGGGACTCCCGCCGGTAACGTGATTTTGTCAGCGGATCTGGGTCCTTTTCGGCTCCTATCTCCTTCCCTGAACACACGTCCCTCAAGCTGCCCGTCTCTTTGAAGTGAGACCCCCAGGAGCTCCTCATTAACCCGAACCCTACCCCCGCTGCTCCGCTCCTGGGGACGTGCGCCAGACAACTCTGCTGCGCGACTCTCCCGGACTATTATGACCCCCCCTGTCTGCACCATCGCCCCGTCAACACAATTCTCGTACGTACTCATTCTCTCTGACGTGCAATCCAGCCCTGCGAGCAACACTACCGGGCGAGCCCCGTCGGAGTCTCGCTGCGTACGCAAAACTTTTTCTTTACCTTCTCGGCCCCCATTCGCCGCAGCTGCAGCAGCAGAGCCGTATCCACCGCCGACCGTCGCTCCTTTCTTGGATTTCTTCCCCCGGAGTTTCGCTAGTAAAGTCCTCCGCAGAGGATCAGCCATTCCTTTCCTTTACCTCCAGTTTATTCCTCCCGGTTTCTTTCAGCACGCTGGCTCCAGAAGGGAAGGACCGAGTGGGTTCTCCTCGCTCGCCGCGGTCAAAGCTCGCCGGGCGGACGGGCTCCTCTCCATTCTCCGCTGTCACCTCCGCTCTGTCGCCTCACTCACTCCTGGATCACTGTGCTGGACTGCACCACCTCTCTCCCCCTCCCTCCCTCTCTGTCTCTCTCTCTCTCTCCCTCTCTCTCTGCTCCACACACACACACACGCACACACGCACACACACACACGCACACACGCACACACACACACGCACACACACACTTTGCCTCCCTCCCTCTTTTTCTCTCCTCTTCTCTCTCTTCCTTTCTCTCTAGCGCCTCACCTCACCTCCTCATGTTTGCAGCTCAGATATTTGGAATATTTCCCCGGCTCAAAGTTCAGGGACCTTGAGCATAAATTAATATTCTGCAGAACGTCCAATTGAACTGAGTTTGGCATGTAACTGTACTCTGAACTGGTCGTGATTCAAAACTGTGGAAACTTTATTTGTACAATTAAAGACAAGCACAAGTGAACATCTTTAAAACAATTTCCTATAATTTTACTTTAACTTTAGAGTAACACAAATCTCACATTTAAAATACAAGCACCTTATGTCTATCTTTAATCTTTATATTATTTCCTTGATTGATCTTTGGTCTATAAAAAGTTAGAGAATAGTAAAGAAAAAAAATGCCATTCATAACTAAAGATAATAAACTAAAGACCATGGTGATTTTATCATCATCAAATTGCTTGTTTCTTCCAACAGACCAAAACACAGAGACATTTAATTTAAAATCACGTAAGAAAAAAAGGAAAACCTTATAATTGAGAAGCTGGACCCACAGGAAATGTTTAGCGTTTAAAAACTAGATGGGTAAAACAGTGACTGCAATAAAAGTGAATTTTGAAGGATGCTTAAGATGAGACTCTAAAAGTCTAATGAATAAATGTATTGATTGCATCTCATTTGTGAACAGAGGACACTGAAAACAACAGTAGCTATAACTGGCATGGTAGCAGAAAGCATTCAATAGAGCTGAAACCATTAGTTAATTGTCTGATTATTCAATCTAGAGAAAATTAATGCAACTATCTTGATGACTGATTAATGATTTCAGTCATTTTTCATCAAAAAAAGTCAAACATGGTGATCTGCTGTTTTATGGCTTTAAGAATTGAATCTCTTTAGTTTTCAGTTGTTGGTCAGATGAAATAAGACATTCAAAGACATCAACCTTGACTCGTCTTGAGTCGATGTCTAATTACTATTTTCTGACATTAAAACTACAATCGATTAATCGATTAAAAGATAAAACAATCAGCAGAATAATAGATAATTAAAGTGCTCCTTAGCTGTAGCCACATTTCTATCACATGTAAGAACTAATACAACAATAGAAAAAAATACTTCACCAGAGTAAATGTGTTGCAATCAAAGTTTTACTGAAGTAAAAGTAGAAGAATATCTTCTCTCTAAAATTTGGCTGAAGTCTGAAACATAAACATAGCCTGCTCATTACAGATGTCCATGTGACAGAGTTATATTTATAGTATATATTACTGTATCTATCTATACACAAGCTCCTATCAATTGTTCAACATTATAAAATGTGTGTAATGCTTCTAAAGGGTGAGGATGTCTCCAAGTAACATCAAAGTGTTTGCTTTTTTTGCACTGCACATGTGTAAATGTGATCTAGTAAGTCCTGTGCGCCAGAGGGGACTGTTGGTTTTGGTCTGAGTGATGGTATGTGAGAGCTCCAGCCCCTCCATTGAAATTCAACACATATTTGTCCCTGAAATGTGAATTAAATTCAGTTGGGGAGCAGTGAGCCAAGACTTCAAATTACCACCTTCACTGGTAGCTGTGAAGGCATTTCAGCAAACAGCGGAGAAAACAACTCTCATCTCAGGGGAAAAAAATGTGCTTGACCCTCTGCAGAGAAAGGAAAAGTGTTGGTCTCAGCAAGAAACAATAGTGAGGACGGCGAAAACCTCACAGCACTGAATCATCAGTTACCTTTTACAAATGAGCAGGATTGTGTCTGTCATGGGGAATCTGTCTTTTCCATAGGTACATCTTCATTACTGCACACACATGAAGGCTATTTTTTATCCTCCAACCCAAAAGTGCAGCCTGCTACATGATGGATCACTGCAGATTATTGGTCTGACACTTTTATCTGAAGTGTATCTTGAGTAATCCTCTTCTCATTGACCTTGCATCTAACCCCTGTCCCTGCTCGCAGCACAACCCGCGGCTTTAAGAGCAGCCGAGACAGCGGAGAAAGGAATGAAACATACTTCACTTGAACCTTAAGCCATTTGTTTGCTGTTGCCTCCACCAGGAATGTGCAAGAGGATGAGCTGCTGAAAAGCTGCAGTGGGTGTACGAGTGCACATGCGCTCTGTAAACCTCCCTCTTTTAAGCGCGCGCACACACACACACACGCGCACACACACACACACACACACACTAACTGACTCTGAATCCATTATAACACTCCTGGCATAACTGTGGCTCTATTTTCTAAGGTACAATGTCTACCCATGATTGAGGGCATTTATTGTCAGAGCCATTCATCGACAGGGCCCCAACGTGCCACATTCAGCCCCCCCCCCCCCAACACCCACACACACACACACACCACCACCACTGCCTCCACTCCCCTCAGTAAAACATGATAAGCATCTGTTATTGCTCTGCAGGAGCCATGTAGGCCCTGACGCCTCAGCCTGCCTCAGCGACTGACTGACTAGACCCTGTCTGGGCAGTTATTTACAGGTCAAAACCTGCAGGCTGCGTGGTGTGTGTTTGTGTGTGTGAAAGAAAGAAAAAGGGAGAGCGAGGGTGGGGGGGGTGTTAGGGAAAAGACGCTACATACATCACAAACCTTTGGACTGCAAATAAGTGTTTTAATTGTTCACCACACTCACTGCAGGGCATGAGCAGCCTCTTTTTGACAAATAACATAAATTAGTGCAATTTTCATAGTGGAAATGTTTTGCATGCCTGACAATGAGATCTTGTCTTGTGATATCACATGATACCTGTACCCGGTTGTGCAGTGGTGCATATGATGGCTTGTTGTATGCACAGAAATGGAATGTAACTTAACTTTACTTTACTTAAGAACAATTTTGAGGTACCTACTTTTTTACTCAGCATTTTTCTGCTGAGGTAAATACCATGCCTCACCTTTACTTTACTTTTCATTACACAAAGCTGGTAAACAAGTATAGATAATTCAATTAAGATTTTATATACAAAAGCCATGAAAATGAGCCCTCCTCTTAGTATGACAATGTAATATTTTTTTAATTGTATAAATGAAAATGTATAAATGAAATGAAAATACATCCAGTTAGTTGGACAATAACAACATAAGCACTTGTCACAAGATGCTGACTCAAGGGAAAATTAGGAAGTTTGTCTTTTTTCTCTTTTCTTCCTTTTGTTTTTCCTCCACCAGTCACTTGTGCCTTTTGTGAAGGCAGTGGCAGAACATCTGCTTAGCTGGCCCCCTTTCAGATGACCCGGCCAGAGAGTGTATGAGGAACCAGTGTGTGTGTGTGAGAGAGAGAGAAAGAGAGGGAGAGGGAGAGAGACAGAAAGAGAGAGAGAGAGAGAGAAAGGAAAGTAGAGAATAGCCTATATATGTGTATGTGGGCGCACATTTGTGTGTGCACGTGAGTGTGTGTCACGATATGGGGCTCTGCAGCTGTTGGGGCTCTCCTCCTGATGGCTGCCCATTGTTCCCTCTCTCTGTGTCTCTGGCTCTCTCTCTCAGACCCAGCCGGTTTATGGGCCTTCCCTTTTTTTCAGCGCACACCACAACTAAATTTATGTCCCTGGACACAAGCCTTTCTCAGGGTATAAATTAGGCTGGATGATCCCTGTCAGAGTAGCATTGCCAAGAGCCTGCTGCTTTACGTTCTAGAGTCACATTATTGTCATAGCCATTCACTCATATTTTACTACTGAGAAAAAAAAAAATCTAAAAAGAACTCTTATTGTGCCCCACTGCATTTATATCCACAGCAAGTTGTGGATGTGAAAGTTTGGTTTTAAACAATATATCTGAGCTTTACTTCATGTTTTAACGGCAACATTTTGTACAGACACTGAAAATCTTTAGATTTGATCCTTTCCATACAGTCAGAGGATAAACAGTTAAAGCCATTTAAACAGTAATTAGACACTAAAAGTCTTAAACAAAAGAGTCCAGGTTAATTTAAGCTGTCTATTTACAAAAGACAGTGTAATTAAAAGAATAATTAAATGTTTTGCTGGATACCTCAGAAAGTTACTGGTCCTGACCAAGAAACAGTCTGACACACAATCTCCTGTAAAATGCTGAATCGTTTGGATTTTACATGGATTAAACAGACAAAATAAAACATCTCATCATAAAACATCTCAATTATTGAGCCTTAAAGTTGATAAAGATGTTGTTAAAGATTTTGCGACCTCTGGACAGGGCAATGCTAGCACCTTGTTTCCAATCTTTATGTTAAGCTAAGCCAACCAGCTGCTGGCTGTAGTATATTTGACAAAATGTCAAATGATGCCTTTAAATTATTCACATACTAAAACAAGCCAAAGTTATTGCAGTGTTTTACTGCATCTGTGTTAGGAGGCGAGGGGAAACCATTTTAACCCATACAACCTTCATGTAATATCATAAAAGGCCAACATCAGTGAACAGATTGGTGTAAACAAAGTATTTAGTATTTGAGTTGGTGCAAGCAAACATCGTATCCTCTCGTCCAGAACCCAGATAAGCTCTTATCTTATTAGATAAAAACCTGACTGAGCTGTATATTAACCTAAATATCCTGTTAGCTGAAGCATCTGTGACTGTTGTGGACAGATACACAGCAAAATATAAAACCAAATAAGGCTTTCCTAGCTGTAGCATCTGGGATAAAGCAAACCTCTGAAGCACTCACAGTGACTCATAGTAGCTAAATCAGGAAAATGATATTTCATCCATCCTGTATGATGTTGAAACTCCCTGCTGCAATCACTTTACTAGTTTTACTTTTTGTTGCCAGTAAGTCTCTTTAACTTAAATCATTT